ACCTCTCCACGCGCGTCCTGCGGAGGCGCGTGGAGCCTTGGGGCCGAGCGCGCCCTCGGCAGCGCACCCGGCACACGTGTGCTGGGCACCCTGCACGACATGCCTTCCAGGGAAGGTGGCAGTAGCTGAATCGTCCAGCTCAGTCCCACTGCTCGTCGTGCTGGTCACAGTGGTGCTGCTGTCGATGTGCTGGTCACGGTGGTGCTGCTGCCGTGGGTGCTGCTCGTCGTGCTGGTCAATGTCGTGTTACTGCACTCCGTTGTGATGCTGGCTTGTCGCCGCGCCGAGGAGTCGTTGCACCCATCTCCTCCTCCTCCTCCTCTCCTCGGCGCTTTCCACTGCTGTCGCTGGGGCTGGCGGTGGTGTTGGGGTTTCGTCCCATTCCGCGACGGCACTGCACCCCGCAACGGCAGCGTCTTGCTAGGTTGGAGCAATCAGGTTCCGCGGCGAGGGCCTTCAAATGCATCACCTCGCTGACTTCCCCCAACTGCCCCCGCTGGTGGACGCGGGGAGTGCTCGTCCTCCCCCTCCACGCCGCTGCACGCATCGGGTTGTGTCCTGGGAGTGCTGCAGGTGCTGGTGCTGGACGCAACGTGGGTGCTGCTGGTGCTCTATGTCTCCGTGCTGCCGTATCTAGATGCCCCCTCCCCCCCCCCGCGCGTCCAGAGATGCCCCCGCCCAGGTGGGCACCTACGACCCCCGAGGCTCACGGCTGATGAGGAGGCCCCCGCGGGAGAGCACGACATAGTCCAGTTTGCGGGTAAGCTGCGATGCGTAAGGTGCCTGCGCGTGGCCAAGGTGGCCAAGTCGCTCAGGCAGGCCCCGTGCTGGCCTGCCGTAGGCCACCGGCTTTGGTGCGTTGGCCCGTTCACCTTCTGCAACTCGTGTGGAGCACACTCGTGCGATAATACCCAGCTCCTGGCGGTGGATTGCAGGGGGCACTGCGAGCGCGGCTCGTCGACACGTGCCCGCTTGGACCACCTCTGGAGCGCAAACCACCCACGAACTGGGGCGAAGTTGCCTCTCGGTTCGGGGCCGAAGGCCCCGACTCCGTTTGGAAGCTTCGCCCTGGACGTAAAATTCGGGAGGCTGGAGGTCCTCCCCGAGTGGTGAGGTGTTCGTCCTGCATGCCGAGTGGCCATTTTGACCGAGAGGCACCGCCTGCTTGGAGCACGCTGCGTCGCGGCGGTGCCCGCGGGTATTGTCTTCGCTCCGCGAAGCCCCCAGCTGCGGTACCGCACCTGTGGGCTACACCCCAGTAAAAAGGCCCCTCTGGTGTCCATCCGTCGTGGTCGTCCCCTCGGAGCCGACCCTGCGAGCAAAAGAAGCTGCAGCCTCGTAGAAAGTCACGGCGGGAGCCCGAGACCGGACCTTCTGCTGCGACGGCTCCCGAGCTCGATTGATGCGTGGTGGCCCAAGGTCAGGAGGGGAAAAAACACACAGACACGATTAATCGTCGATCCCCAGGAGAATATGCGAAAATGTGGGAAGTGGGGGGGAAGACAAAAGCCCAGAAAATACAGGAAAATAAGGGGGATAGTTTTATTTGTGTGTATTTATTTGTGTGTCCCAGTTCCCCTTCGCAAGGGTCCGAGACCAGGCAAAAAACGCCCAGTGTTAAGTCGGGCGTGCCCCTCGACAGGATGAGAATGCAAACATCGTAAAGAACTAGTCTGGGGACGATTCGTTGAGCATGTCTGAACCATATATATATATATATATATATTGGTTTAAGCGATGTTTAACTTGTCGCCCAAGATCCGCCTGTAGGAGGACATTCCCGACCTAAGCCCAGTGTGAAACAACTGCAAAGACTGGCTCTCGGAATCGTGACTACCCGCGCCACCCCAAGCTCAGACATCCGATGTCTTGCTTGTTTCCATACGGGGTCCCCCGTTTTCCCGACCTGTTTATCGCAGAAGAAAAGAACCACGTAAACATATTTTTTGGGCGCTCCGCGCGGATTTCTTGGATCCGCGCTGGAACCCCAGGGCGGCGCCGCGCGGAGCGCCAAAAGTTTATGTTTATGTGTTGTTGTTTCTTCTTCTATTTTCCCCCAGGCCCGTTTTTCATCCTGGCTCGTTTTTCGACGGCAGCCCACGACAGATAGCGCCCCCCCCACCCCCTGCGCACCCCCTCTGGTGTCCAGGAAGTGCCACGCCTGCCACGCTTCGCGAGCGCGCGACGGATGGCGCCCGCCCCCCCCCCCCCCTGCACGCGCCCTCTGGTCCCGCGACCCGGCGAAGGCCCCTGGAGGCCGAATCAAAAAATTGGCAAACCACTTCCGTCGCCATCTTTGATGACCCGAGGGGGCCCGGGTCCGTCGTGGCCACCTGGGCCCCTCCGAGGCCCTGACGATCCGTCGACCTGGGTTTCTCTCGGCGGCGAGGGAGGGGGGGAAGTGAGGAGGAGAAGGCCGCCTCAGAAGTCGGCGGGGCTTCTCGGAAGCCCGCCGGCCTTCTGAGAAGTGTTCTGTGTCCTCGGGGAGGGCTCAGGAAACCTCTGGGAAGGCCGGGGGGGCTGCCGAGCCCTCTGAGCAGGCCCGCCCCGTCTCACTTCCCCTCCTCCTCAACCTCCTCGACCTCCTCCTCCTCCTCCTCCTCCTCCTCCTCCTCCTCTTCCTCCTCCTCGTCCTCCTCCTCCTCCTCCTCGGGTCGCCTACGGCCCCGGGGGGAAGCCGTGACCACCCGCGCCCCTCCGAGAGGAGTCCGAGTACCTCTCTAGCAGGCTGCAGACCGCGCTGGAGGACGCCGGCGAGTGCGTCTCGCCGGGCTTCGCGCGGCTGGCCTGAGCGGGGCGCGCGGCAGGGGCAGCGTCGCGGGGGGGCGGGCTCAGGGGGGGCGACGACGGGGGCGAATGGCCCAGGGGAGAACGATGCACGTATCCAGGGGCGCCCATGGTCCATGCCTTCGGCGAGGCTCAGGGGCGAATGCGTGCAATGCCCGCCCCTGGGCTACTTGCCCCTCTCGCCGCCCCCGATCAGGGGGGGGGCGACAGGCTCAGGGGGGGATGGGCTCAGGGGGGGATAGCTGCAGGGGAACGAAGAGTGACATAAACACAAAAGCTCGGAGGTCCGCGCGGATTTTTCGGAGCCGCGCTGGACCCCCCTGGCGGCGCCTCCGGCGCCGCCCCTGGCGCGCACCGCGCGCGAGGGAGGATGGGTCCAGTTCGCGCGGACCTCCGAGCTTTTATGTTTATGGCATTCTTCGTTCCCCTAGGATAGTCAGGAGGAGGAAAAACACACAGACACAAGTAATCGTCGATTCCCCAGAAATATGGGCAAATATGGGAAGTGGGGGGAAGACAAAGACCAAGAAGATATGGGGAAATATGGGGAATCCTGTCACTTGCGTGTAGTAATTCGTGTGTCCCGGGGCCCCGTCAGACAGGTCGTCGGTTCTCGGTGGCTTCTCGGCCGTCGGGGTGCCCGCCAGCGGCCGCGCCCCTGCCGAGAGCGCGCCGGGGGGGTGCCCGGGTCGTCCCGAAGGGCCGGCGGAGAGCCGAGCTGTGACCCGAAAGCCAGGGGGCAGCAAGAGGGGTGATAGGTTCAAGGGGGGGATACATCGGCCCCCAAGCGCCCATTGATCGCCGATGCCCAGAGATTCGACACGTTGACAAACATCAAGGCGGGGGTTTTTCACACATTTCGGCCCCTAGGGGCCCTCGCTGGGCCTCGGGACCGTCAAAAAACGACTCAGGATGAAAAACCGGTCCTGGGGAATAGGTCGAGACTTCCGGGGACCCCGTCTTGAACAAATCACGACGTCGGATCTCTGGGTAGGGCCCCCCCAGGAACGTGCATAGTTATTCGCTGTCGGGGGCCTATCGCCGATATATATATATATATATATATAACAATAAATCCGTAAGGGCTTCGCCCCCTGCCGCCGGCCCCCTCTCTCGGAGAATGGGCCGTGGAAGAGCTAAGTCATGAGGCCTTGGCGCTGTCGTGAAGCAGTATCGAAACTTCATGCGAAGCCGATTCGCAATCAGCAAAACCAACTGATCACAAGAGGGGTTACCACACCTGGCGATTGGTAAGACGTGTATGGTTTACGGGCTTGGTTACCACACCTTGCGATTAAAGGGCCGAGGGAGTTCTCGCAGTTTGGGTTACCACGCCTTGCGATGGATGTGCGTGAAGGGTGGCACCGAATTTCAGAAATGTGGCAAATCCCCTGTGTTTTTGGACCCTGACTCCGCGGATCTGCGTGAGGGGTGGCGCTGAATTTCAGAAATGTAGCAAATCCCCTGTGCTTTTGGACCCTGACCTCGCGGATCTGCGTGAGGGGTGGCACCGAATTTCAGAAATGTGGCAAATCCCCTGTGTTTTTGGACCCTGACCCCGCGGATCTGCGTAAGGCGTGGCGCCGAATTTCAGACATGTGGCAAATCTGTGTTTTTGGACCCAGACCCAGCGGATCTGCATGAGGGGTGGCGCCGGATTTCAAAAATGTTCCAAATCTTCTATGTTTTTGGACCCTGGTTTCGCGGATTTGTGTGAGGGGTGGCACCGAATTTCAGAAATGTGGCAAATCCCTTGTGTTTTTGAACCCTGACCCCGCAGATCTGCGTGAGGGGTGGCACCGAATTTCAGAAATGTGGCAAATCCCCTTCTGTTTTTGACCCCTGACCCCGCGGATCTGCGTGAGGGGTGGCACCGAATTTCAGAAATGTGGTTTAGAGGCACGGGTCACTGTCTCTCTCCAAGCGGGGGGCGGCGGAAGGTGGCGCCAGCCTAAACTGAACTCTCTATTTTGTGCCTGAACCGTGGACACGATGCCGCCGAGAGCGGCGGCAGAAGGTGACGGCGGGGTCTGCACCACCAAAAAATCACAGAGATTGGAAGCAGACCCCGTATCAGGTCCCACACTACCGCAAAGCTTGCATTAGCGCCTGGCTGTGGCGGTGCCTGGGCAGGGTGGGAGGGTTCGGGCGCCTCCCACAGCCGTCAGCAGAGCTCCAAAAAACTCCGTAGATCATTCGCAACACGAAATGGGTCACTCACGAGCCTTTTCAGGGCGACCACTCTTCTTGGGCATCAGTCGGCTCCCGCGCTCCAGGATGTCTGGCGGGAGCGCGGCGCGGGCGGCCACCAGGGCGTGCGTCTTCATATACCTGAGCACGCTCTTCTCTGAAGCCCACCGCCCGCGCCGCTGGATGGCCCACACCGTCCTGTAGCCCGTCGCCGCGTCGTGGCTCGGCCCCGAGTGCCTGGCAGCATGGGGCGGGAAGTGCTCGACACCGACGTCGTCGCAGGCTCGCCTCAGCGCCCGGCGGTAGGCATCCACCGAACAGCTGAAGACTCGGTCCGAGGGGTCTCGCTCGGACTTCCTGCGCACAAGCATGTCACTCACATGCCGACGGTCGATCAGCACGCCCTGCCTCACGCCCGTCTTGGTCCTCTCACCTCGCTCGGTCACCCCGAGTCGTAGAGCCACAATCTGCTCGCCCGCCTCGTCCACGTCGACCACGATGTCGGCCGCCCGCAAAGCGAACAGCTCCGCGGACCTGAGGTAGGCGTCCAGGGCGACCTCGGCGGCGTCGGCGGCCTCCACGCTCCCGGCCAGCCTCATGGTCTCGTCCAGCACGGCCCAGAGCTCGAGTGGCTGGGGTCCCCCTTCTCCCGCAACGTGAAGTCGATGCCAAGCTCGAAGAGCTCGATTGGCCCTCGGCAACCCCGTCGAGAGCTCGGGCCACACGTAGGCAAGCCCATGCACAACGAAATCTCCTCGATGCGGACCCACCTCCTCATCCTCGACCAGGCGGTCCAAGTAGCAATGAACGAAGTCGTCGATCTCCTCTCGGCTCATCATCGGCAGGTTCACCTCCAGCGCGAAGTTCAGGAAGCGGCGCACGTTGGGCACGTAGCAGCCCAGCGCCGTCTTAGTGGAGACCGAGAACGGCAGCAATGCCAGCCCATAGGTGGTTCTCTCCCGCCGTGGCACCCCCTGTGGGTGCGCGCCCTCCGCGTCGTTCCTGCGGTGGGTGTTGCCCATCTTGCGGTGCTGAGCGTGGTGCCGTAGCCTCTCTTCACCGACGGCGTCCGATAGAAAGGGCAGCAGCAGCCAACCCAGGAGCATGGACCACCGCGGGCAACTGGACCGGCAAGCGGTCCCGGCCGACGGCTGCTCATCATCCACGTCGGACTCCCCGAGACGAGGCGATCGTCGATGGTCAGGCGCCTGGTCACCAAGTCGAACCCGAAACATCGCACGAAGATCTTCCAGCTCCGTCCAGTGTTCCTGTTGTAGCCGCTGTCTCTCCGTCGGAGTCGCTTCTCGAAAACTCGCGACAAAACGATCCCTTTGATCTTGCGTCGCCCTCCAGGTGCTGCTGCAAAGATCTCTGATGATGTCGGTGATCGTGTGGCGAGGTAGCCCGGTGACGAGTAGGCGCCTCAAAGCCTGATTGGGCCCGCTGAGAAGCACGTCCGTCAGGAAGGCCACGCACCACTCCTGCCACTCGGTACCGTCGGTGGCCCGCTGCGTGAGGTCGCTGAACCACTGCTGCGCCCAATCATGTAGATCTTGCATCATGTCTGCATAATCTTGCACCGCTAGCCCTCGAACATCGTCGGGCATGGGCGGGGGCCGCCCCATCGCACATGGGCTTCCGTACCCAGTCAACCCGAGGCTCGAAGGAAAGCTGCAGGTAATGATTCCAGCAACGTAGCGTCCCGGCACCTGCGCTCCAAGGTCTCTGAAATCAATTGCTCCACGGCCCTCTCGGTCAGGTCGGCCTCCCGTCTCTCCTGCATGGTCAGCATTGCGTCCACGTGGCACTCCGCCAACATCCTGCAGAATTCGGACGGGTACGCCTGGGCCACCCTTGTCCGAAAACGACCGCTCTCGTCCTTGCCACAGAGGCTCGCCGAGTGGTTCTCGTGCACGCAGGGACGAACAAACCGCTGCATCCCGAAGGCCGTCCCCGTGAGCGTCGTCAGCTTCAGCGCGGGGCAGCCCCACATGCACTGCGGGAAGGTCACTCGGTAGGCACCCACCCGGGCCTCCCAGTCCACAAGCTCCTTGGTCACGAAGATCGATGGAAACGGCGGACACCCCGGGTCGGCAGGATGCTCGATGGAGACCGAGCCTCCCTTGAGCCCGATCGCCTTCAGGATCCTCAAGCTGCTCAGCAACTGCGCGTTCCCAAGCTTCACCTTCTTTGCGTCGTCCCCTCGAAGACCCGGCCGACCCCACAGCTGATCTCGCAGGCGTAGCGGGGGGGGGGCCTCCAGGCTGGAAGCGAACCCGCGACCAGGTAGAGCATGAAGGGCCTGAGTGTCCCCCGTCCGTCTCCACTTCCGCCAGCAGCTCCAGCCTCCGCATGTTGACCTCGTCCGTCAGGTCGAACTCCGCCCCGAAGCCGATGTCCACGTTGGTGCAGATCATCAGGTAGCCTCGCGACCCCGCGATCCTGAGCAGCCAGTCCTCCAGGTCCCCGATGCGCGTGTGGCCGCTGCAGAGGTGGACGAAGCGCAGCACCTTCACCGGGATCGAGACGCCCATCCTGAGCGGCTGGAAGGGGTCCACCTCCGCCAAGTCCGCCAGGGCCTCGATCCTCGAAGCCACCTTCTCCGGCAACACCCGCTCGTCCGTCCTCCGCTCCTTCGGTGCCTGCCCAATCGGGAAACCTCGGCTCGGCCCGTCGCTGTGGTTGCGGTCCGACGGCACCCAGCGCCAGTACTCCCGCATGCCGCACCCGAGGTCGAGGGCGGCCATTCTCCTGCACAAGATCAGAATGGGCCGGCTGGCCGATCTGCCTTTGCTGAAGCCGCCGAGGCAAACCATCGAGTCCGTGATGCGTAAGTGCCTCTTCCCCCAGCTCGCCCGGGTGCGGGCCGAGTGCCTCGCCGCGGCCACCCCCGTGCGCATCTCCAGCAAGTTGATGTGCTCCTTTTCCTCCCAGCGCCAGCGCACAACCTCCTTCCACCGAGCGATGTCGTCCCAACACTCGTGCACAGGTGGAACGCGGATCCGGGTACCCAACTCCACGTCGGTACCCACGCGTCTGAAGGCCTCCCCCTCGCACCAGGCGTCCGCAGCCCAGGACGAGGAGATGCCCGTCCAGACGGTCCAGCCTCCTCGAACTGCATATCGTGCTTCTCGACGCTGCTCCTCCACCGTTGCCACCGTAGAGATGAGCGCACCACCGTAGAGGCTCGCATCGAACATCATCACCACCGGGTCCCAGGGCGTCGAAAGGTCCACCGAGATCAGCGGTACCAAAGCCGCAGCCGCAGCCAACTCCCTCAGCACTTCCCGTGGAACCTCGCGCCGAGCTCCACCTCGGAACTCCATGCACCACGCGTACACGTCCGCGAAGACGCTCAAAGCACCACGGCAGATCAGGAAGCCCCAGGACAATATGCCGACGATCCGTGCGACGGTATCGGGTAGTTCCCACTTGTGGATCAGGATCTCCCGTATGCCGAAGACCGCCAACCACATCTTGTCCTGGTTCGGCGCCAGACGAGTTCCCCGAAGATCGCCACCGATCATGCGGGCGTCCGCCGCACAAGCATCCTTGTGCACCTTGAACCCGGCGGATACCACCAACTCCTTGGCACCGAGCCAGATCTCCTCTACCGTCATCCCAGCCTCCTGGCCAGGTCGCGTCGGGAAGTCCAGGCCCATGATGCCGAAATCGTCGATGTACTCGTAGTGCGCAGCAGGCAAATCCCGACTGAGATGGGGCAGCGGTCCGCCTTCGGCCAAACGTTGGTCGCCTGAAAGCGAAGAAAGACCGAACTGGGGCCCAGTATTGAAGATGTCCTCCATAGTCGTCTGAGCCATCCAGCACGCCCAGGAGAAGCCCATCAGAGCGACCTTCACCCCGACGTAGGGCCCACTCCCAGGCAGAGACGAACCTTCGGGAAGCAGAGCGTCCAGCGCATCTCCAGAAACGCCGGGCAGCACGAAGTACGGCGCCAGCTCCTCCCCCAGCTCCAGCGTGTAGTAGAAGTCGGGGAGGTCGCCCGTGCCGAAGCGCATGGTCACGCCATCCTCCTTCATTTCCTCGGACACGTCCAGAAACGACATCGCACTGACACCGCCCATGGCACACCACGGGGGAGACCGCCACCGCATGTTGGAGCGCCTCTGGTCGAACACCAGCCTCAGGGTCACCTCGGGCTCGCTCCCCACCAGCTCCGCCTTCTTCACGACGCAAAAGAGCCCGACCTCGTCCACCTTCACTGCGGTGCGGCACAACATCCCGCCAAAGCCATCCGTCGGGCCAGCTGCAACATTTCCTTCTTCTTGCGGAAATGCGGGTCCACGTAGTTACGAATCTCGCAGGCCTGAACACAAGCCTCGCCATCCTCTCTCAACATCTCCTCCTTGAACATCTCCAACTTCTGTGCCACGCGAGGCGACACAGACCTCACACTCACAGGTCTGGTCCCCGGAGGAGGTAGAGCGACTCGATCCCATTGAGCTGGAAACGTCTCGCCCCTGTCCGGCAGCCGTCCACTTCCGCCAGCATTCCTCCTCCGAAGTTCGGCCACCCTCTGTTTGAAGGTGGACTGGGACTGATGGCCCGCCGCCGAGGCAGCAGGGCGCAGCCGCAAGAGTGCGGCTCCTTGTGTGGGTGTAGTCGAAGGCGGCGACTGGCGACGAACTTCTCCCAGCACCCGCCGAGAGAGGTCCCCGTCCAGGTTGTCGGGCACGATCCCCGGGCCCCAGCAGTCGCCCAGGCCCAGTAGACTGTCGTCCAGGCTCCCGCGGTAGAGCTGACGCAAGGCCAAGAGAGCACGATTCGCCGTCTCCACCAGCTCCATCTCCTCCTTCCAGCGCGACAGCACCCGACGAGAAGTCGAAGCGGGGCGCTCCGGGCGAGCGAACAGCACCACCTCGGACAGGATGTCCCGCCGCCGAGACATGAAAACCCAAATTCGTCGTGCAAACGCTCACGGGCCAGCCGACGGCGATGATGCGAGTCAGCTGCAGCAGAAAGAATACACTAGCCAAAACAAGCCGACGCGCAGGGACACCCCGACGCCGGCTGCAAGGGCCCCCCGGCTCGAAACCGAGTAGCCCCAATTGAAGCTCCTTGACTCTCACGGCGGGGCCACCGCGCCTCCGTCCAGATCGGAGCGCGCCTTCATCAGCTGCGCGTCGCGACCCATGGCCTTCTTCATCTCTTCCTCGGCGCTCATCACCCGAATAGTGCTCTCGTCGGCGAGCTGGGGGTCCAAGCGACGTGCCGCTTCCCAGTCCACCTTCGACTTCCAGTTCTTGGCATCCTTGGGGCGGCTCCAGTCGTCGCGGCAGTTCACGTTGCGGTACGCCCTCACAATAGCGTAGCCCTTTCGCACCAACCGCTCGAAGCTCACCAGGTTGAGGAGCCCCCTCTGACGATCGGTCATCAGCATCGTGTCCACCGCGGCGAAGGCCGCGATCATCTCCCGAGCCGTGTTGCAGTCGCTCAGCCCCCGGTCCCTGATGAAGTCCCGCGCCCAGGCCTCGGCCGTCTTGCCTGACGAGTAGATCTCTGACAGCACCTCGGCCGAGATCCGCTGGCGGTAACCCTCGGGCATGCGGCTGTTCCACTCCTCGGGCTCGATCTCCTTGTACTCGTCCAGCTGCTCCATGAACACCTGCTGCGGCAACTGAGCGTTGAAGCGCATCCGCTTGATGGCCAGCTCGACGGCCTCCGGCTGCGAAGTGGCAGCTCGCTTCTCGGGCGTCTCCATCAACGCCGTGGGTGCACTCTTCGTGGGCGAACCGAGCACGGCGACCGCCGAAGCCGAAGAACTCGCCCCCTCGATAGCAGCACCACGTTCGCCAGCTACCGCCTCCGCAGGCACCTCGCCCTTCAGACGAGCCTCGAACTGGTCCAGCCGCGCAATCATGCCCTCGATCACCTGCTTGTTGGCCTCGGCGTCCGCACGACCCCGCGAGTCCAGAGAAGCTTCGAGTACATCCCGACGTAGCTCCCTCGTCCTCTCGGCGGTTCTGATCTCGCTGATCTCCTCCATCATGGCCTTCTGGGACTCCACGAGATCGTTCAGCTGGCTCGCCAGCGCGGCACTCTCTCCGCTTGAAAGAGAGCCAGGCGGCGGCAAGGGCGGAGGCACCGAAGCAGTAGCAGCGACGGGCACATCCACACTCGAAGCGCTTGATGACCCAATCGAGGACTCTCCATACTCCACACTGTCCGACCACTCGTGAGCCGCCCAGATGGTCAGAAGGATCAGGGCCAAGAACATCGCAAACCAACGCTGAAGAGGCATCAGCTTCTGGGCCCACTCCTTCCACTCCCACAAGTAGGTGGCCCACTCCTGGACGACCTCCGAGCTCTCCACGAACGCATCCTTGGCCGTGACCAGGTAGCTGATCGTGTACACCCAGACCTCCTTCATATACTCGATCACGCCCAGCAACACCAGCAGCTCGTACAATACGAACAACGCGGCCAGCACACCCAGGAAACGCTTGGGACTCCTCAAAGACCACCTCAGCGTCTTGAGTGACGAAGCCCCCGAGCTGAAAACGGCATACAGGACGTTCACCGCGATCGCCTGCTGACCACCCTTGCCGGGGCGATACAGCGGCCACGTCGGTACTGACGACGCCTTCAATCCCTCCGTTGCCTGGCTGACATAGGCGTCCCTCTGGGCAGCAGAAAGAGGTGGCATCGGCCGCCACCGAATACCCGCCACTGGGTCCGTGAAGATGGACGTCTTCGCCGTAATACAGATCAGGCCCAACGTCAAGTCCGGACCGATGACGGCCCACACGTTGCCACTCTTGCGACGCACCAACTGCACCTCCACACCGTCGGTCGCACTCTGGCGGTAGAAACGGCGAGACCATGGCTCCACTGGCATCTGTAGCTCGAGACCCTCGACCTCGTCCGCTGGATCCTGCTCCACGATAGGATCACTCACCAAAGAGAAGAGCGACCACACCAGGAGACCGAACGGCCAGCACCCGAAGCGAGCCGTCTCGTCGGCGCTCTGCAGCGCACTTACCGGCAGGTCCGGCACCTGCCCCTCGTCGTAGCACTCCAGCTCGACCAGCTCCCACGATGAGCAGCCCGAACTGTCGGAATCGCCCGCACTGCTGCCGCGCGGTGAGCAAAGGAAGAAGGGCTCGGGCGAAGCCGCAGGAACCCCTGCGGGCATGCTCGAGCCAAAGAACTTGAGCGGAGAACACAAACATAACGTGTTATGTCAGAACGGCGCCACCTGACTTTGCGCCGCCCCCGCCCTCCCCGCCCACCGACCACATAACAGACGGGGGAGGGGGGAGGAGGAGAGAGGACCACGGCCCGAAAACTTCATTGTTTGCAACAACACACACACACACAAATCTCCTTTGTTTTTGGACCCTGACTCCGCGGATCTGCGTGAGGGGTGGCACCGAATTTCAGAAATGTGGCAAATCCCCTGTGTTTTTGGACCCTGACCCCGCGGATCTGCGTGAGGGGTGGCACCGAATTTCAGAAATGTGGCAAATCCCATGTGTTTTTGGACCCTGACCCCGCGGATCTGCGTGAGGGGTGGCACCGAATTTCAGAAATGTGGCAAATCCCTGTGTTTTTGGACCCTGACCCCGCGGATCTGCGTGAGGGGTGGCACCGAATTGCAGAAATGTGGCAAATCCCGTGTGTTTTTGGACCCTGACCCCGCGGATCTGCGTGAGGGGTGGCACCGAATTTCAGAAATGTGGCAAATCCCCTGTGCTTTTGGACCCTGACCCCGCGGATCTGCGTGAGGGGTGGCACCGAATTTCAGAAATGTGGCAAATCCAATGTGTTTTTGCACCCTTACCCCGCGGATCTGCGTGAGGGGTGGCAGCGAATTTCAGAAATGTGGCAAATGCCCTGTGTTTTTGGACCCTGACCCCGCGGATCTGCGTGAGGGGTGGCACCGAATTTCAGAAATGTAGCAAATCCCCTCTGTGTTTGGACCCCGCGGATCTGCGTGAGGGGTGTCGATTTCGAGCCCCCCCAGCAATTCAGACAACGCGGCCAGGTGAGGCTAAAAATCCTGTTTGGGCCTCCCCCCCCCTCGCGCGGTCAATCAACTAGTTACAGTAACCAGCAAGAAGTCAACTAGTAACACTGGAAACTACAAGCTACAACTGGTACAGGAAACTGCGAACCCGCGCTCACAGCCTGGTGGCCCCACAGGTGTTGCAAGATCGCGTTTTAAGTTTTCGAACTCTACTTTAATTAAAACCAAGCAGAGCAGCCAGCTCCAGCTGGAAGCCCGAATTCAGAACCAGGAGTCGCTCGCTCGGATATCCTTCGCTTTGGCAGACTTCAAGCACCATGCGAGGGAGGCTCAACGTGCCATTCGCTTGGAGAAGCGTGCCGAGCTTGAGCGGCAGGCAGACCAGGCTGAGCACGCCGCTCGGCACAATGACAGCCGGGAGTGCTTTCGCATTGTGAATCGTCTTGCCCCCAAGCCGCGTGCCGCCACGCTCACAGTCCGCAATGGTGAGGGGAAATTGTGCATGTCCCTGGAGGAAGAGCTCGCAGTCCGGACGTCGGCTCTCAAATCGATCTTTGATGCCGACGAGTGCTTGCTGCACGTCAGACCTCCTCCTCTCCTCCCCCTCCCCGACCCCCAGCCAGCTGCAGTGACAAGCTGTTTCTTTACACGTGACACAGTAGCTAGCGCCATGCACAAAATGCCTAATTGGAAAGCGGCCCCCAACATAGTTTCAGCCGGTCTTTTAAACATTGGGGGGCACGCTGCTGGAGTCGTGGCAGAACTGTGGAAAATGGGGTGGGACGTTGTGGAGGCGGGGGTCACTGGGGTGTTTCAGGCGTCTGCCACGCTCCTTCAAATCCCCGCCCACTTTAAAGATGGGGAGGTCTCGTATTTAAGGAAGCCCAAGGGGGACGGCACTGATGCACGTAATGATTATCGCACTTTAAACATATTGTCTCACTTAGGGAAGTGTTTCACTCGGATGGCTATGGCCCCGTGGACCCCGACTCTGGCTCGAAAAATCTCGCATGTTCAGTTTGGAGGGTTGCCCAAGAGGTCCACTCGTGACGCCATTGCCCTGGTTGACGAGGTACTGCGCCGGTTCCGGCGGGCAGGCCGCTGTAGCCCGAAACGCCGTCGTTTTCTGCTAGTCTGTCTGATAGACTTAGAGAAAGCGTTTGACCTGGTGCCCAGGGACGTTATCTGGCAGGCGCTGCTGGAGATGACAGGGGACCACCATGTCACGCTGTTGTGGCAGGAACTGCACGACGGGACGTGTTACCTTCTCAGGGACCACAACACAGGGGAGATCGTTCGTCGCCTGGTTGTTCGCAAGGGCGTCCGGCAGGGCTCGACTGAGGGCCCCACGCTCTTTATCGTCCTCTACGATTTCATCACAGGTAAGGTGTTTCAGGACTGTAAGGAGGAAGGGTACCGGGGTCTGACCGTCTCGTTCGACGCTTCCTTGGGGGTGGTTCGCGGAGAGGACGACTTCGACACCGAGTCCGCCGACCTCGTCGAGTTTAACTTGTCGCACGCCGCGTTCATCGATGATTTGTTGACGTTCGAACTCTTCGACGACGACTCGGAGGTCCCTGGATTCCTTTCGTTTTTGTACAACACGATCGAAAAGCACCAACTCAAGGTGAACGTGGGGAAAACGGAGCTTTTGGTTTTACCGATTGGGTCAGGCATGGCAACCACGACCAAAAAGATCAAGAAGAAAAAGATTAGGTTCGATGTCCGGGGGTCGTCGTTACCTGCTTTGCTTAGCGTCAAGTACCTTGGGGTCCAGGTGAGCATGACCGGCACCGCGAAAATTGAGTTGGATTCCAGGCTTAAGAAGGCGAGCGCTGCTTATGCCAGGCTTGCTGCTAGACCGTTTAAGAAATCGTACTTGACCTTGAGGGTGAAAGTCAGGCTCTGGACGGCTCTGGTCCGATCGATTGCTCTGTACGCGGCTGAGGTGGCGGTCCACACGGTCACAGACGAGCGGAGGCTGGAAAGGTGGCAAACCAAGCAGTTGCGATCCCTAGCCAAGCTCCCTGCCCACATCAGCCGGATTCACAACGGAGCTGTTCGCAGGAGATGCCGTGTTTGGTCTGTGGCCTCTGAGCTGTGTAAGCGACGTTTGTTGTGGTGGCAGCACATCGTCAAGCCAGCCTTCGTTCCGGATGAACCACGCTGGTGGGAGCCTGATGCTTCTGAACACTATGACCCCACGTACGCTGTGCGCGCAGTCATGTTTGGGCGATTTTCGTTCGAGAGCTCCCAGCAGACCATGGAATCGGACAGGTATGCCAGGCTTCGTAGAGACCTGGAGGTGCTCTGGCTCTCCTTCAACGCGGAAGAGAGAAGACGCATGCATGAGGAGTTCACGCTGAGCCAGGAACCTACCATCACATCCCAGTGGCTCCGGTGGCTGGCCAACCTCCCTCGTGCTGCCTTCGGCCAGGTATTGTCTTTCGATTCACCGCATGACCCGGCTGACGGCGACGGTGGCCAGGATGTGGCCATGCAGATTCGATGTGAGCATTGTGGCACCTGGTGCAAGGATGAACGGGGATATCACATTCATTTGAGTCGTCAGCACCCAGAACATCGGCAACATGCGAATGTTACGGATTTGTCTTGCCCCCACTGTTCTCGTGTTTTCACCAGGCGTGATACACTGCTCCGACATATTGCCAGTCGCTGTCATGCTCGGGCTGTGCCTGTAGCTTTTGGCTCATCAGGGTCTGCCGCTGCTGCCGAGCTCCTCCCACAGCCTGCCAATGTTCGATCCGGTGGGTTCGAGCGCCGCCAAGCGAGACGCGGACGCCATGGACAGGGACGAGGACGAGGCAGAGGACGGCAAGCGCGTGGTCACCAAGGGGAAGATGCTGTCCTCGGAGAGCAAGCTGATCAAATGCATGGCCAAGCTCCTGCTCCAGCACGAAGACCTTCACTGCGCCACGGCGAGGGACCAGAACCTCGTCCTGATCACGCCGTCGGAGAGCCCCTTGGACAAGGCGCTGGGGCAGTCCGTCGAGGCGTACGGCAAAGCCGGCACCCAGGCCAAGAAGCACGCCAAGGACTCCTCCACCGAGTACAGGGGGAACCCGGAGGGGAAGAAACCGGACGCCTTCCTTCGGTTCTTGTTGTTCCGGACGTCCGAGACCTTGACCGAGCCGGTGTGTCAGAAGCTGTTGGAAGCGTGCCCGGAGACGAGCCGGAAGGAGCTCACCTCGGTGCTAGAGAAGATCAAGCTCTTCGGCGAACAGGCGAAGGTGAAGGGCTCTGTCCAGGCGACCCGCTGCTTCTACGTCAGCTCGCAGCTCGAGGATGGCACGGCCGTGACCAAGTGGATCTTCAACACCCAGACGAAGATCGAGGTCATGAACACTTTCGCGAAGCTCCTGGAGATCCCAGGCATGGCAAAGATCGCCGGGTGGTACATCGAGAGGGACCACGCCCCTCGGGCTGGCGCCGCCAAAGAGTTGGAGGCGGAAGTCTTCCAGCGCAACAAGGGGAAGAAGGGCAAGCGTCAGCGCCACTGATGGGTACGTGTTCGAGTTCGGGTGTTGCCTCTGCCTCCTCTCCTCCCTCTGGGCCCCGCAATTTTTTACAATTTTTTGGTAATTCTGGGCTCCCTCATAACTTTTTAGTGCAAAAACACACCTGGAAATTCGATGCCGGTTCGAATCCCGTTGGAGCTTCCCTCTCTCCTCCTCCTGGCCTGGAGAGGTCGGCGTCGAGTGTCGGCGACGCTCCGCCTTCGACCGATCGAGAAGGGACGGGCGCGGGAGGTGGGGAGCCGGGGGGGGGCGGGGACGGATAAGGAGGAGCTGACCGCGCGGGCGCCGCCCGCCCCGCGGCAGAGGTCGCGGGCCGGCCTGCCGACAGAGGTCGGCGGGGGCCCGGGGCAACCATCCAGTTTGAAACAGACAGCAGCACTGCAGTAGCTACCGATCCTGTCGGGCGCCGTATATCGGTCGAAGCAATCGCAAGACTTCTAAGGGAAGTAGCGTGTGAAAGAAAGAAAGAAAGATATATATATATATGCACATATATATATATATATATATATATATATATATATCGGCGGCCCAGACATCCGGCTGCTCCAATTTTTGTTCGATGCGTGGGCACCGGGGGTCTGGCTGGGCCACTTCCCCAGGGCCGGTTTTCCGTTTTTTCTGACG